ATTCTCGTTCTGAGAACTAGTAAGGAGGAAGTATGTATATACAGTTATATACTGATCTGTATATAGTAGTACTTCGATTCGTGTAGTATATATATATATATATACTATACTGTCCAGTACTCGTACTCTCGTTTAGTACTAATAGTACTAGTAGTACTATATAGTTTTTGATACCATATATATAGTTTTGGGTCCCGGGAACTCATGATTGGATCCATGAATCCTCTGTACTGTTCCTACAGTACTCGTTGCATTGTTCGATAGGAATTCATTGGCCAACAGAGTGATACGGTTCAACMATAGTTTAACCGTATGTTAACCATATGAATTTCTTATCTCTCATTGGGATATAAATGGCTAGGCCCAGCTGCTGTTCTGCTTCATGCAGTGTTTCACATACTGATCACATACATACGTATTGCCTTTTGCCCGATAGGTACGTTTTGCCAATGTATGTACGTATGTTTCGTATTTCGTGTTCTTATAATAATAGAACAACAAATACAAACAACAACAATCTGTTAAAGTTATTCTAATATGTGTGATGTTGTGGAAGGGCAATTGAAAAGTTTTGTAGAAAAATACTGGTACGACAAGGTGAAGTTTCCTGTCAACAACAGAGTTACTGCTCACATCATGAAGAAGGCAGTGGATATGGAGAGGATCAATGATCCAACCTGTCAATAACGGAGTTACTGCTCACATCATGAAGAAGGCAGTGGATATGGAGAGGGTCAATGTTCCAAAAGATATCACCCCAGCAGCTTTCTGTGAGTTTTTTAAGAAGAAGGTAGTCACTGTACTTGGCACATTGAGACATAATTCACAAACCTTGGCTCGGAAAAACTGGCTTGGTAAGTTGCTTTTTGGTTTCCTTTCTGTACTATTATTTCCCCCACTAAAGCAAGTTTTTTGTTACTTCCTATGATTTGTTACCTGAACACAGCTGATTATGATAAGAACAGAGTACCAGCCTCCTTCCCAGGTACTGTTGGAGTGATTGAAGACCCAGACTACAGTGGCTGGGGGAGTATAAATCCTGACTACAGGAAATACAAGGATTCTGAGAATGAAGAATTCTATTATTTTGTGACCAGAATCTTGTCTGCCGTCRATCCAACRAAAAGTAACTTCAAGCAAAGGAAAGACAAAGATTTGCTCAGTGAGATCTTCTCAGTCACTGATGAGGYATTTGCTTTAATATTGATCTTCAATGAACACCATGTTTGGGAGAACCAGAAGCAGAGGAAGATAAATCCTGAGATCCGCCGTAGGAAGAAAAGGTATTGCAATGCTGAGAGTGGCAATAGCAGGGATGGTTGGATGGAGGAAGGAAAGGACTTGTTTAATGAATTATGTGAAAAGTAGCAAAGCTACGTGAGGATCATACTACAGGGAACAAGGAGTTAGAGACAAAGATGAGAGAGAGGTTCAGGAAGGAGAGCGGTAATTACAAGAAACGCAGTAGCAGCAATACTACTGGTATTAGTAATAATAGACCAAAAAGGAAAAAGCAGAGTAGCTATATTGATCCAGCACTGAGAGCTTCTCTGCTCAAGGATGGTTTGGGTGATATACCAGCAGGATCATCAGATGCAGAAGAAACAGAAAAGGAAGAGGAGGATCTAGAATAAAATTGAATATCAATAGTAGTATATATTACATATTTTGAGAATCTATTTATTCTACCAGTAGTATAGAGCAGTAGTCCAGAATTAAAAAAAAAGGATTGGGAGTAATATTCTGTATGCAAGAATTTACATTTTGAAAATAGATTAAAAGAAACTGGAGAAAGGAATTGATGACAATAGTAAAAAAGTTGACAATTGAGTCTTTTTTGGGGGTCACGATGTGATCGTGACAAAATATTATTTTGTTACGGGTCTTGGAAAAATTTCATTCATTAATGGAATTATTTGGTTCGCGCGACATGCACAAATGAATTATTTTTTTCAACGTCACGAAGAAAAATAAAAACGGTACTGTCTGTTAAAGTGGTCAACAGTGTGGACACGATAGCAAAGGAATAACAGGGTGTAGTTTTTGCCGCGCGTGCTAAAAACACGCATATCTCTCGGACGTGGTTCAGATTTGAATCGCGTGCTGAAAAAATAAAAAAAGGGTAGTTTGTCGCTTGCGTGATGCAAGCTCAACATGTACTTAGACCATAAAAACTGGGTCGTGTTCAGGTATGCGACGGGTTGCGATGGGGGGTTTGCTACGGGTCGCGGATAGTTTTTGTGCCGTAAGACGTGGTCCCCCACCACCACCGTCACAAAACCTGCACCACACGCCTCAGTACTGCTGAGCCTTATGTACTACATCAACGAAGTTGTATTTGTTAAGCTGTAACTGCTTAAAGGTTGGAAAGTTTTACTACTATTAAGAAGTAAAACTGAGAGTTTTAAAAAATCTGGGGGGATTTTGGGAAAATTTCGACCAAAGGGGGAATATGAGTTTTCGATGCGTTGCGCGCCCCTCTAAATTATGACCCGGTTCCTGCTTCGTTGCTTCCGCTAATTGCTCGCTCTGCGCGCGTCAGGTGATACTCAATTCTTTTCAAAAATCGCGTAGTTACAGTACGCGACGTTGAAAAGTCAGAAATTAATATCACAACAGCTATCAAATCTGTCGTTTGTTTTTCAATTTCGGGAATACTACCGATAACCGCAAAACCTCATCGTTTGGACGATTCCTCACCAATCAGTACAAGTACAAGTACAAGCGCATACGTATCCATCCATTCGAAAACATGTTCGATGAGAACCATACATACTACTCCTACTCCACAACGAGGGACCTTGGAATCAATTAGAGCACAGGGTGAATAACGAGGTGATAACAAGATACACCGCTGTAGACCGGAGTCCGCATCTCATAAAATCGGATCACATCACACTTAGCTACGCCATACGACACGTAGCATGAAAGGCGACTCCGATGAATCATCGTCGTCATCGTCGTTGCCATCCATGCTTACCGCTGTTGATCACCGAAGGCTCAATCAAAGGAACCACAACATTTTCCTTATGGCCGTATTCGACAACAGTGATACTGCACCACACCACACAACAAATAATGTGAATAAGAGTCATTCAGATGAGTCATCATGGTCGTCATCATTATCATCTACGCTTCCTGCTGAAAGCTACAGGCAATTCCGAAGGAAAGACAACATTTTCCAGAGGACTAATGGGGACACTCATCACAAGAATAACATCTATTCGTCAGAATCCAAAAAGAGGGTGAGAGAAAGAGCAACTGTAGCAACAAAAATATCAGTAAGGAGCCGAGAACAAGACGATGAGAATGATGATTCTTTTTCTTCCGTCGTAACAAAGCAGTCAGCCTCTTCAGCAACGTTGCAAACTTTTAAGCACTATTACCACCCGCCTGATGATTCATTGTTGACGCAAACATTGCACTTCGATGACTTAAACGAAGACGCATTCAACAACAATCGCATTGGTCTAGATAAAGGCGAATCATACGCCTCTCTCACGAACAGTGGTGACATGGATGTCCAAACCAGGGTTTCGTCGCTCCCATCATCTGTTGTCGAAAAAAAATCTTTCTATACCTCGGAAGAGCTATTGGACCTGTTCGAGCCCTTCTGTCCAAATTTTTCTTTGCCGGGCAAACTCGATAGCAACTTTAACAATAGTTTATCACGAACAAAGATGACATCACAGCTGGCCGGAACACTCTTCCAGACCTTGCCATTTCGCGAAATCAGGAACAACAAGATCAAAACGGTTAATATAACTAGCAGCAATAGTAGCAAGCTAATAGACGAGTGGATTTGGGGTAATAACAATGACAAAATGGGATACGCCGCGGGGGTGATGTCATTTTGGATATTTGTTAGCCTGGGACTAACGCTTTGGTGGCTACTGCTGTGGCATTTTGTGGGTCGCGAGAAGAATGAATCAAACCGCAGCTATGCGAATGTCGAGGGGTTGACCTCAGAATGCGACGACTTCAATGGCAATCCAGACGCTGGGGATGAGAAAAATACGGAAGACCAAATCGAGGAGGATTTCATTGCTGCATCTACAAAAAATTACAACGAGTTCGACAACAAGAAGTACAGTAACACGATCGACATTTTTTCTCCCACAGAAACAGGAATAGAAGAACGAGAGGATATTTCAGATTACTTGAACTCGCCGACTTCACTGGAGGTGCCAAGGGATGCAAGGTTGAAGAGTAACAGCAAAGAAAACCAAAATGGACACCAAACTGGCAACAAATACGAGTACAGTGATGATTGCGCTCATTGTCACGACAATGAACACGAGACCGATTTCAATAAGGAAGACATTGCTCATGCTGCTGATATGAATATCACAAACATCGCTAGTAGTTATCAAACGACCCCCGGTAAGAGCGGAGCAAGCAGAAATCACCCGTTTGGAAAAGCGCAACGAAAGCGAGATGGAAACAATAGAAGCAGCAACCATAACACCGAAGGCGATAGAATGACTATTATCAGCGACTGTGACACGCCCAGTAGCTTTGGTGTCAGCAGTACTCAAACACCTTCGATGACTCAAAGAACATTCTCGGCAAAAAAATATTTTGAAATCCCAGAGGGAACGGAAACCGTTAACAGTGAAGATCACCAATCCATTGTGGACTTTGATTGCAGCTCGAAAAGAAAACACCAGAGCTTTGGCTACCTCGCCAAGGGCGAGGATAGCGAAAATAGTGTTAGTGCAAAGGATAACAACGAAAGCGCCGGAATTGCTCGAACAAAAAAATCTCTTCTTCCGTCCTTTCTTGGAGATGTGATCTTCAAAAGCAGTTACAACAGGATCTCATCGCGAGATGAGGAAGACGGCCGATCTTCAGAGAAAGAACACAAGGGTGGTTGTCCAGAACCTTCGAATTCTCTGTCTTCCTCATCTCCACTATCGTTTTTAAATATGCAAGAGCAAGAGGTTGAACATTTGCTATTCCAAAAAATTCCGATAATGCCAATTCTATCTGATTTGTCCATGCCTCCGGGTTTGTCGGAATCTTCCGTTGCATCCTCTTCTCTCACCAATAGCGATATTTCACTTGCTGTGTTGGCATCGGACGATATATATACTGGAAATCACTATGCGTTTACCGATACTGCTGACAAACTAAATTATCGCTACACCGCAAGGAATACCACCACTAGTGCAAAAATGAATAAAGAGGCACCAACTGCACCAACAATGCCAGTATCAACAGGTATACGCCCCGTTGGAAAAAACGCCAAAGCAGTGAATGATTCTGCTGTGATTTCTTCTGCTTATTTGTCTTATTGTTTCGATGACGACCACCAAGATTGTATTTTGAAACGAGAAAGCAGCGACGAGACTTGTCCAAGTTTTGCAAGCAGTCCTATGAAGAAAGCAATATTCGGTTCGTCTTCGAGGGAGATAGGGGTCACCAAGTGTGGACACAGAACAAGAAAACAAACAGAAAGGAAGTTGCAATACAACAAAGATGACGAATCTTCGCTAATATTTCCATCCCTCTCATCCTCCTCATGCCCGTCGCCTCCTCCATCAGATCTTTCCAGAAGGCTGCGAGAACTTTCCATGAAGTCGTCTCTGTCATCGGTAGGACGATCGTCATCGTTGTTTTCTATACCAAGCCCCACGACACCAATAACCATCGCAGGTAGCTACCTAGGGGACAGGAACAGCTTGTCTGAGTCTCCTTCGTCACAAGGCTATCGCAGGTCTCCCACACTATCCCCTCCAGACCTGGGGGATTTTTACAATATTAACCAACCTAAAGGTTTTCTGAATTCAACGCCGGTTCCAAATCAGTTATGGCTGACAAGAAACTGGAACGAAAGTAATAGCAAGAAAGATAACGATAGTGATGGTGATAGGGAAACGTCGAATAGTACCAATATGTGGACCGAGAAATCAGACACAGGTGTTAGTCATCATACCATGGAAGAGATATCGGTTCGAAACGGAAATTATGACTGCAGTGTTTTGTCTTCTCAAATTTATGGCAGTAGTGTCAGCGAAGCACCTATGCCAACACAGCAAAGCGAAACGGCCAACACATTGAAAAGAGAGCTGCGACGGCAAGAATCAATGTTTCGGCTCTTTGACTATGACGATGGGAACACGACCGTCGATTTAGTGGCAACAACAGACGATAGCAGAAGCAGTACGAGTGCTACTTTCATTCACAATGCAGGTCTTCAAACGAAGCCCCGTGCTTCTTTTGAGAGCGATTGTTTGGCAAGGGACTTTGCCAATACGAACAATCTTAGTCCCAATGCTTCAATCACTCATCACAGCATGACTTGCGATATTTTGAAGAAAATCAAGAATGCCTCGCCGAGTGCGTCCTTTGTCAGTGGCGTAGTTGGATGGAGTGAAGACGGGAGGACCGCAAACACAAAGAGCCAGAACAAAAGCGAGGGCAAGATATCTTCGTCTTCAAATCCCCACGGTTCAACCTCAAGCAACCGAACTAACAGCAACAGAAGGAAGAGTAAAAGAAACAATGATGTAAGCAGAATTTTTAACCGGGAAATCAACCCCTTCGAGTACGACCGGAAATTTATGAGAGCGAACAGCCGAGAGGACAAAGAAAATAGCCTTCGCACCAACACAAATGGAAATATCCACAGTAGAAAAAGGTCTTTCACTCTACTGCGATCGCCATTTACATCGCTCACTCCTCCTAAAGTCAACTTTAATAAACGTCCGTCGGATCAAGATTTGTTAAATTTGTCTGAAAGCTCTACAGGGGTAGGACCATTCAAATCCATTTCTGTACCCATGGTATCGCCATCAAAATGTTCCATGAAATTGTCGAGTTACAGTAGCAATTTACTCAAACGAAAGCGACGACTCGAAGCCTTTGCAAAATCCTGGAAAGATTCTTCCAACATGAGTAGCAAGCATTATTGTTACGATCCCAGAGCTCGAATCAAACGATTAAAGGACTTCATCAACACCGCTGATAGCGAAAAATCTACCGATACAGCGTCTCTGTATGCAGACTCGAAGATAGGAGCAAGGAAGGGCGACAGTTTCGAAACAGTGCAAGCTAACTATACGAACAGTTGCGATACTAGAAGGAAGACGAACAGTGACATCGACAACTGCTCGGTTCTTCCTCCAGATAATCCATTCGAATCAGTGTTGTCCAATCCCGACCATCACAGTTCCATCGATTGCCATGCCAATACGGTATTTCAGAGTATTGGCGTTTCTCTTTCGTCGGGTTCTGGGAAACAGCTTATCCATAAAATTATTTTTGCCGGGTCTTGTGTCTTCTTGATTGTATCTGTTGCTCTGTTCGCTGTTCTGGGTTTTGCTGAGCTGCACAAAAGTATGGAGTCCCTCGAGTCTCAGTGGGAAGACCTCCAACTAGAAGCCATGATTCCCGCGATGACGATTGATCTAAATGCTATGGCAGACAAAGGCATCACAGATGACGGGAACAAACAAGACGACAGCGAAGGCGATCCCATCGTGACGATGTCACTTACTGAACTTGATCGCAAGAGCCAAACCATGTACGTCCTTCTCGGCGATCACTGTCCAAAGGTTCGCCCAGCTTTATGCAGCAGCAACGATTTGCCTTTTTCTTTTTCACCATCATCATCTATGTGCCATTTGCACGACTTGCCACTTGGAAAGTCCTGGATGGAGTGGCTGGATGCGGTAAATGGGGACAGGTCTTTCCCGTCGCCCCATCTGCCGAGTGGCGAAGATACCGGAGGGGGCGGCAACAAAGATAACGACATCAAAATGTCGAAATCAAATTCAACTTTCTCGCAACAAGAGAAAGGGCGATACAATCGATTCTTACGGTGGCTAGATCGCTCGCGGGACGAAGCTGCCGCATTTTTTTCAAGTCAAGACGATCGGATTCAAGATGTACTTGCGGCTGGAACATGGATCCTATGGTTGGCCTTATTCACAAACCTCGGGCTTGCTGTTGTCGCTTCCGCCGCTCTAGTACAATTGGTTGGGGGTGCAAGGGGTGCACCATGGTTGCTGGCACCCAACATCGGTAGCAGCAGTTACTGCGTTTGTTTTCCACAAACACCAAATCCCGACACCAAAAAAGTTCTGTTCGCTATCTTTTGGACCTTAGCAGTATTGAGCTGGATCGTTGGCATGTGCTTCTCGATTGCTGCGGTTGTTTCCGTTGACCTTTGCGTAATCGAAGAGGATGTGGGAGGAAATTCCAACAACATTTACAATAGCAGTACCAACTCTTTTGCAATCGAACTTATTGACCGCTGGCAATCGGAAGAGGATTACGATAGACTCTTTGACGACGTGGATGGACGAGCGGAACATACAAATATATCCGACGAATATGGAGGAAACTATAACAACGATAATGACTACAAGGTATTATCCATTGTGGACATCTGGAAGCTCCAGCTACATCGGTGTGCCCCTACGAAAGGGGGCCAAGACGCAAATGTAAATCACAATTATTCTGTTCCGACCCAGGAGGTCCTCGAAGATCTCGCCCGCTTGGCAGGGCCTTCCAGGACGCTCGCCGATGGACTGAATACTTTCTCATCGTCTGGCATTTACGAGAACATCTGTGGAAGAGGTGGGGGAGTCGCTCCTCTCGTGGACGCCTCAGAGGATATGTCACTGCAGGTTTGTATTGATGCTCAAGCCTTTGCGGAGATACATCTAGAATGGACTCCACCACCGACGTGCGTTCGCCAGGAGAACAGCAGCTTGAAAGCCTTCGATGCCCCGCGATGGATTTCAATCTACGACAACCTTTTGCAGAATACTGTTTGTCGCCAAGGCCTATGGGGACTGGCCTGGGCAACTTGCACGCAGATGCTGATATTGGTATTTGTGTTAGTCGTCTGGAACTTCCGGTTTGCTGTAACAAGCGTCGCCTTGTGACGGGGAAAGGTTCAACCGTACCATGCGGTACCTTAGAACGACCGTACTGCACTGTATGATAATCTCCGGTCTCCACTCGTCATTTTTAGCACCGGCTCCCCCTGGGCTCTGATCGTGAAACAATGACACACAGCAGTATTCTTAACACTATGACCGAGCATATCCCCAAAGGGGATCTCATTGGAGGCCTTTCTGGAGCTGTCGTGGCTATCTTATTGAACTGTTTGGGGTCGAAAAATTACTGCACTGTAGTAACCAATTCGTAAGCAATCAGTAGTACAGTGCCGTGCAGTAGTGACAATTCTCTATTCCTCAGGAATATAACTACTAGTAGTATTAGTGCTGCCAGGAGAAGATGTACTAGTAGGAGGAGATGCTTATATAGTACTGGGTTCTTCCTCTTTGTTATTGCTTGTGTTAGTAAAAGAAGCTAGTACTAGTAGTAGTAGCTAGTAGTCACAATAAGTTTTTTTCAAAAATTAATACTTCTAGTAGTACTAGTAGTATTTTTGATGAAGTTCTTAGTGAATAAAGCTTGGACAGTTTTACTGGTGTTATGCAAGAGCCGTAGGAAGTAGAGCATTTATCGAGAGCATGCGCGCACTGAGAATATATAGAATCTGATGGCGTGTAATGATCCAATGGCCCTACTTGGTAAGCTATTTAATATTAGTGATGTCGGTCGTCATTTAAATAGAGTGTAGCGAGAATTACGTACGGTAGAATATTCGTGAATGCGAAAAGCTGATAGCCTAACAGTGAAATCTATTTCCTATTTCCGAAGTATTATACCGTGTACGTCTATTTCCAATTTATTCTCGATCGATTCCCTACCTATTCTCGGCCCATATTTGTTAATCATCTGTTTTTTAGACTTCATATGACATGTATTGAATAGAATCTTCCAATCAAATTTGGTGATGGCGGTTCACATGCGTCAGTTATTCTTGATGCGCTTGCTCCGAAAACTAGAAAAATCGTATTTGTGCAAAATGTATGTAGGCTCTTCACTAGTAGTGTCGTATTACGTATTACGTCCCGGGGATTACAATAAAGAGTGAGTGAGTGGATGAGCTTATTGCTGTCACTCACTACTCATCTACTCGTGATTTACTACCGAGGATGGAATAAGAATTTTCGAGCGTTGCGCTCCCCTGTTAAATTTATGACCCCTGCCTAAAAGTTTGTTGTGACCGTTAGAGTTTGCAGTAGGTACGTACTTCTACTAGGTACAGTACTTGTACAGTGCGCCGTTCGGGTCTTTCGTTCCGTTCTGCAAAGCCAACACCAACTGTAAGACTAGCAATAGATCTAGCAATAGAACTAGCAATAGCACTAGCATTAAGATGTCCGGGGGGCACAGGCAGGAACTCAAATCAAGCAGTCAACAGTCGAACTCGATTGCTACGCTACGCTAGGGAACAGAGTTAACAGAGGCAACAAACCGTACCGGCAGGCAGCAAGCACAAACCACAAGAAAACAAAAACAGCGCACGCAACGAAACGAAACGCACGCTCCATGGGCAAGTTTGTTCGGCGGTCGTACAAGACCGCCGGCAAAAGGTCGTCTGGAGGTTTTGGTTGTCGCTTCAACCCGCACCACACAGCCTTTGTGCTGCTTGGTCTGGCAATGATTTTGCTTCGCCACAACCAGAGCAAGGAAATCTTCTCGAGATTCTCGGACCTGGACGTTGGGACACTAGCAAATCCATTGCCAAATACAGCGACAGCAACAGCGACAGCGCCACACCAAGGGTCGATTCGGGCCACCACAGGAGCACCGCCACCGCAAGCTGCGGCTTCCAACGCAACACCCACCACAGAGTGCACCCGAGAAGAATTGCTCACGATCCGAAAACACCTCAACCCGGAGTTTTGTCCCACGGCCCGCGAATTCGCCTACTTCCAGTTCTGCAGCCTCACCCAGGCCACCAAGTGCGTCGACGCGAGCAACTGGCTGGAAGACTACTATCGGGATCTCCGAAAGGAAGGCAGCCTTCCCGACGCCTTTTTGGGACTGTCGGTGGGCTGCAACAAGGGCTTTGATGCCCTCAACACGCTAAGGATGGGAACCCACGACACGGCCTTTACCAAAAAGGCCTGGAAGCAGTCCATGGAACTGGACGGGGCAAAACTCTCCGAATCCGTCTGCAACCAGGACATTGTCGACGAATTCCAGGTGTCTCTCGAGGATAACAGCAATCCTGCCGATGCAGCTGCCGATGCATTCGCAACCGGCGAAATGCACTGCTTCGAGCCCATGCCACCAACGGTGAAAAAGCTCCAGCATGCCGCAAAGCAACTCGGGTACGACCAAAAGGGATTCAAGGTCGTCCACGCCGGGGTCTCCAAAACACCCGGAACCGCATGGTTCGCAACGGTAGGCTCCGAATCAGGCGTAGAAAACGTCGGCATGGACAACTGCGAGGCCATGGGTCCGATACGAAAGGCAAAATACTGCACGCAGGTTCCCGTTGTCTCCCTCAAGGACTATGTCAAACAACACATCGACGGTGACAACGACAACGACAATGCCAACGGCAAAAAGCGAACCATCCACCACCTGTCCATCGACGTCGAGGGTTTCGACGCAGACGTTCTGTCCGGAACGGGTTCGGATGTCCTGAAACGGGTCGAGTACCTAGAATTCGAATACAACTGGATGGGATCCTGGAAGGACCAACACCTCTACGACGTGGTAACCGCCCTCGACCAGATCTCCATGACCTGCTACTGGGCCGGAACGAGGCGCCTGTGGCGCATCACCGGCTGCTGGATGCGCTACTACGACATCCACACGTGGTCCAACGTGGCCTGCGTCAACCGGAACCTCGTTCCGAAACTAGCGGCAAAGATGGAGGACGTCTTTCGTGCCACCCTCGGCGACTCTGCCATTACGGCACACACCTTTCGGAACCCGGTCTGGCGGCGGGCCAACCACTGGATGAGAGGCTTAAAAAACGATCCCATGCTCGCCACCGAGCCCCACGAAGCAATGGTGTCGACGGAGTACCTCTAGGAGTATCTCCAGGAGTATCTGCAGGAGGATCTCCAGGAGTATCTCCAGGAGTATCTCTAGTCCTCCCACGCCCGCTGTTGGTTCCGTCCGTGACGCAGACGCCCACTCGTGTAGTTCATAAGTGTGAAGTGGGCCGAGACTCACTACGGACTTACTAAACAATCTTACCAGCGGTACACCAGAATCGAATCTACAGTATCTAGTACGAAGTAGTAGTAGTAGTAGCAGTATCTATTACAGTACTCGTACTTTACTCATAACTCGTAGTCATCTACTGAAGGAGTATCGTAATTTTCTGGGAATGCTCCAAAATAATGTGCTGCACTGCATTCTCTGTCCTATGAGTACACATACACGTACCTTTTACACGTACGGTACTTTCGTACTACTACAAATAATGATGCATCAACATTTGAGTGTGAGCCTAGATCACGAGTACATCGTGAATAAGCTCACTCTTTATTGAGCATATCCCAGCAATCCCTCCCTTCGTCCAACGAAACACAAGATCCCTTCTAGGCACTTCTGTTCTGTTCTGTACCTCCGCACGGTACGAGTACCGTACCAAGTACTGTATCCTACCATACGGTATCTCACAACTTGGGGTACGATACAACCATACAGTTGTGCAGCATTCCGTGACTTTTGGACTGCTCGACAATCGACAACTCAACTGTTACCAGTAGGGATACGAGTACACGTACTGTACACTTGCGGTAGCATACCGGTAGCATGGTCCCAGAGTCGATGAGTGTGATTGGTTGCTTTGTTTGGTTTCTCGGCCGCAACACAACAACAAGATCGTAGCACGAGCACGCAACATTCCGCAGCAACATTCCATAGGACAACGCATCGCGCTTTTTCGCCCTCGATCTTTTTTGTGCATTGTACGGACTGCTTTCCGTTCGGTGGCACAGAGAGCACTTGATTTCATGGACACTCCCGCGAGGGAACCAGAGGCCTCCAGGCTTTCCGTCTTGTCGGTCCAAAGCCCGCCTGAATGCGTTCTGAATGTGGATGTAAATCTGTTTTGCCCCTCCGCCACACCAGGGTCTGGACGAGACAACAGCCACCTCGTCGATGACTACGAACCCATACCATACAACGCCAATGGAAACTTCAACGGCAACACAAACGGCAACACAAAAGGCAACATAAACGGCAAGAATCCCAGTGATTACAATTATGTTTCGCGCTATAACAGTAGCAGGCCGCCTCCTCTCCCCGATGTTCGGGAGGCGATCGCCAAACAGGAACTGCTGGCAATTCAAGAAGAAATGGCGCACCTGACACTTCACCAGCAAGAGTCGGCCCGAAGGAGTGTCCTGGGAAGGTCTTCTATGCAATTGCAAGCGCACACCACTCCCAACAGTGTCGACAATCCCAACAATAGAACTCCCCTCGAATGCCCGGCGTTCCTCGGTCGAAAACTCGAAACGATGAAGCGCGAACTCGAAAACCTGGAAACAAGGTTTTGCCATACCAACACTTGCGGCAGCGATGATGACTCGATGGTCTCAGCCTATCGAATGGCCTCGATGAAAGAAAACAACAGCATCAATCGCAGCAACAGCGACAAGGAAAACTCCTACGTGGACGATCCTGACTTTCGGCTGGGCTTTCTGCGGGCCGAGCGGTACGACGCTCGCAGGGCAGCATCCCGCATGTGGCGATACCTCTCCGAAAAGCGCGACCTCTTTGGCATCGAGTGCCTCCGGCGCTCCAGCGGGCATATCTTCCTGTCCGACCTTGGTCACGACGGCCTTTCTGTTCTCTCGATGGGGGCCATACAGGTCCTTCCACAGCGCGACGCTGCCGGGCGGAGGGTCATCTTTGGTTGCCCGCTTCCCGGAAATTCCCACGCCATCCACGGATACACGATTCGAGGCGCAGCGAAGGCCCATTTCTACGTCTACTCGTCCCTTCTCGAGGACGATACCGATGTAGGTAGGATCAAGGGCGTTGTGGGGGTACTCTGGAGGGTCCACCACCCGGAGATCCACCCGGACATCATCGCTGCCACCGTGAGGGTCCGCGAATGTGCCCCCATCAAGTTCTCTGCCTACCACATGTGCCACGGGGTGTACAACAACCACGCGGCGGCTCCTGCTAGCGACCAGTCCCGGCACAACACCAACCGCAACTACTACGAAGCGATGTACGACTACGCCAGGCGCATCGTGACTTTTTTGCTGCCCAACCTCCAGCGCATCGGACAGATGCGGTACTACCGGGCCCACTACGGGACCGCACTCGAATGCAGGTACAGTCTGTACTCTCGGTATGGGTGTCCGTCGGATTGTTTTCCACTCTTGCACGGCAGCGGTGGCGATGGGCTAGTGAACCCCCGGTGCGTCGAAGAGTGGATGGCCTATCGAAAAAGGATCGACGACGACCAGGAAGAGAAACAAAAGTGGAGAGCGATTGCCACCAACATTGGCATGATCCAGCCACTGGCACCGACACAAAGGGAGGTCACCATCGAACGAGACAGAAACAGCGACGGCTGGCCTTCGACGGCAGGTGATTGCGATGGCAATGGCAATGGCGACGGCAATGGCAATGGCAATGGCAATGGCGACGGAAATGGCAATGGCAATGGCGACGGAAATGGCGACGGCGACGGCGATGGCAATCACAGAGCCTCCTCCTCGTCCTCCTTACGGCTCAGCGACTGGAGTGAGACCCTTGCGGACGCCTTTGTGGCGGCCATGAACGAAAGCGGCTGCAACGACAGTGACATCGACGACGACGACAACAACAACATGATCATCATGAACAACAACAACAACAACAACAACAACAGCCGTTTCGCACCGGAACGAATTCGCCGGGTATCCTCCGCTGGTGTTACGGATCGGTTTGTGCCCGGTCGGGAAAACACCGATCACAAACACGACGCCCGCCATACAGTTGTCCCTCCCCGCACGGGTTTGGCGCTGGCGGTAGCACCGACAGCATCGCCACTGCCGTCTGTTCGTGACGTCTTGCTGGGCCGGGGCCGGCCCCTCCAGAAACACCCCGGTAACCTCCGCCTGCGGATGTTAATCTCTGATCGCTTGGACGAATACGAATCGTCCACCAAGCCGGAGAAAACGTGGCTCGCTGAGGACATTGTAAAGGAAGTCAGGGCAGGCGGGGGCAGGTTTTTGCAAAAGAGAAAGCCGACTGAAAACGCGAAAGCAAAAGAAGCGGGGCCGGGCATTTGCGTTGGCGTTGGCGTTGGTATTTCCGGTGAACGCAAGAATGCTGCTGCCGATGACGATACTGTCAACGATGGCACCGTCGAGTGCGGCTGGGAGGAGGTTGACGATCACACGGCCCGCCTCAAGGTCGCGTACACCTTTCGAACTCTGCGCAAAACGAAAACAAAAGCAAAAACGAGAGAACCAAGGCAACAGCAGAGTACAAGGGCAAAACCATAACAGGCAAGACCAGACTGGTCGATCTTGCACTCCCAGTACCCGCATCTCATCGATGGGTGGCCTCGTGGTTTCTCTGGCAAAGCAAACAACGACGACACTACTTTTCTAAAAAACCGCAACTCGCAGACGACAGCTCTGCTCTCGGTGGAATGCATGGTGATTCGTTCGTAGAACCAGAACGAAAATGTCTTTGGCTTGAGGCGCGGTCCTCTGTACGAGTGCTTTCTTTTTCAACAACATCTGTTATATATTATAGAAACATTATTTTTTCTTAATTTGTACTGTTCACATTATTTGTTCATGAAATCGACGGTATTTCTCACTCGGAATGGATTGGTACATCGGTTTGGATAGTAGCAGTGCCGAAAGGCGAATGTGTTGTGAGTGTGTCGTGCGAGGGAGTGGAGAGAATGGAAAGGTTGATCTGTATGGGATGGGATGGGCGTTGGTGTTCGCAGGTGATCATCGAGTCGTAGATTAGGGGAGGGGTTCGCCCGAAGTGGATTCGGTGCTGGTTGAGGTCGTCGAGACTGTCGGTGAAGTGGTCGGTGGGTTGGTCGGTGGGTTAGTCGGTGGGTTTGTAGGTGGGTTGGTTGGGGGTGGGGTGGGTGACCTCGTGGGAGGCTTTGTGACCGGGCCTTTCTTGGGATGCTTGGACTTTTTGGCTTTCTTTGGCATCTTGGGGTGGGGTGCGGGAGGCCCCTTCTTGGTCTTGAGTACGCGGCTCCCGGGGAGGCTCGCTGCCATCGCACCGTTTGGCTCCGATAGGATGCCGAGGAGGACGATCGCGAGGAAAGGAACGAGGGACGATTTTTTCATGATGGCCATTGTGTTTTCTTTGACGCAGGTAATGTAAAACAAGGCTTGCAATAATGGTGCGTGCAGTGAGTTGCAGAGTGTAGTGTAGTCTTCTGGGCAAAGGGTAAAATTCAACAACTAAGATGCTGCAGAATGTACTTTGATGTGAATTTTGCGGTTTTCTCGTTTGGTTCGGTCGGTGAATCGAAAATATGAAAGGAAGAAGCGCTTGTCCAAAACCTGGACACTCCGACGGCGTACAGCGGAAACCCGTCGCCTCTCGCCGTTTTCCCGGCGTGACACATCCCGATCGCAGAAAGTTCGAGGGTTTGGTTGGCTCGCCATGCGTGACAACCTACCATACTTACACAACAGATACTTTACCATACGTCCAATCGTAAGGTCGTATTGTATTGCAACGACTCTTTTTTGCGAGCAAGACGTGCTCTGGCACCGCAAAAACAGGATTCTGGTCCCGGTTCGGTTCGCCTGCGACGTTCCTCGTCGGTCACGGCTTCCCCTGCACCCCGTACGGTGGACTACGTACCTTTCCGTGCACTCGTCCGTCGCCAACAACTACGAGGAAACGCAATACAACATACAACAAGCTCGTACGTGCGGACGAACGTGGGTACGTACAATACCGTACGTAGTCGGAGGCGTGCCATCGCCAGGTACCTAATTACGATAACGGTACCGTACGTACGGTACGAGTTACGGTACGTACGAGTGGTGTGTTTTCTTTCGAAGGAATCGTTCGATCGAACATGATCATTGATCGTTTGTCATCGCCGACGAAGATTTTTGTATGTGTCACACGAAAAAGCTATCGCAGGAAAATAACAGCAATCACCGAAAGAAATGTGTCAGGATTGCGATTTCGAAAGAACAAAAGAATGGCGTTGATTTGATTTGATTGGTCTGTTCTTTCTTCCTTGCCATCGCCTGTTTCGCCCTGCCCACCCTTTTCACGAATGAAGGAATGAATCGATCGATCCATCATGCATCGATCCATCGATCCATGAGAGCTGTGGATGTCGGAGACTGGGAATGAATGAATCGTTGCATCGCGTGTGTGTTGGTGTTTTTGATTTCTGGCTCGCAAGTCGGAACTGTGGCCTATAACTCGGAGGTACTGTAACTCGCAACTCGTAACTCGTAACTCGTGGCGTATTGGTCATCGCGTAAACGTGCAGTGCCCCGTCTCTTGTCCGCGTGGTCCGTGTCTCCTGCCAACTGTTTTGAATGGATCTCGGACAGTCACGCCCGAAGTGTTGCAGAAGGGCAGCACGAAACGAGACAAAGCAACCATTCAAAAGGAGCGGCAACGAAACGAAACGAAACGAAACGAAACGAAACGAAACGAAACGAAACGAAACGAAACGAAACGAAACGAAGCCAAAACTAAAACTAGCACGGAAAATCAATATCATTTGATTCATCGAATCGACCATAGAGCTCAAGGCAACCACCAAAAAAGGTAGAGAAGAGATATCTTGACTGCAACCAATCGATATCTAATGTGATGTGATGTGATGTGATGTGATCTCTTCAGTGCCTAGTGCCTATGGTTTGGAGTCTGGAGTCTGGGGTATGTCTTTCTCAGATCACAAAAGATTTCTCGAGGATGCAATGTATCTCGGAACAAGAAGGGGGCTTCTCCCCACCGATTCGTCGAACGATTGAGATGAAATACGACCGATTCAAACCGAATTCAACCGACACACAATCGAGCTGGGTCGAATAAAATATTTTTTTTTTCGCAACTGCAGCGCAAGACGTGCAGCCCGCAGCTTCACGTTGTGTCGCGTGCCTGTTTTTGGATGCGATCTCCCTTTTCGAACACAAAACAACACAGCGCAACAAAACAAAACATAACATAACAAAACATAAGACAGTAAACCCCAAGGCATCGACACGATGAGGCCGCATGCCGTGTCTTTCTCGGTGCTGCCATGTCGAGGCAAGGCGTGAACGGGACGGAGCCACGCGTCCCGGTATCTCCTGTGTCGTCGGTGTCAATCGGGTTGTAGCGACCAATCGACGACGGAAGAAGGGCAAAATGAAGGAGATAGGCAAGCAGACAATGAAGGCCGTGAAGCCGTCATGGGTTTTTGTGTCGTCAACCGTTCGCTCGTTCCTTCTTGCCAATTCCAGAACATGGTGATGAATAAATCAATCTACGAAACAAACCGAACACACAATGCGTGTGCGAATGTGAGTGCGACACAATACAAATGAGACCAAAAAGGTAAGGGGACGAATGAAATGAGCTTCAAAGTTCTTCTGTCCGTACGAAGTAAACGAAATCCGAGCAGCACTGTAAACAATGTTAAAGCGCCAACCGTACGAGGGCGATGAGTCTGGGACTGAGAGAAACTTAAACCATGCAAAAAATTAGTTCGACAATTGGCAAACACTGGCAAAGCTAAATTGGTCTCCACCGTTTGAGTCGCACTGAACCTGAGATGTAGCACAGCTTTAATAGAGAAGTATGATATAGTGTATCCTTATTTACATCGAAGACTTAATGTACTTTAAATTAAGCACCCATCCCTAACGACCACTGAATCTATTGCGTCAGCGGCAGCGTGGGCACTATTTGGAGTGCTTCGGTTGATAAAAACTTTTGTGTGACAAATAATAATAATAATAAATAGTGCGTTGGACAGACAGGTGGAGAAGCAGAACCGACGAGATTCTGCCCGGAATTATGAAGATAACAGAGTATTACCAGCGTGCACAATCACGACGGAAGATCCTCTCGACCATCAAAATAGGCACGGTCGGATAGACGTTTTTTTCTCTAGTTGTCAAAGATAATTCTCGCGGCTTCTTATACCTGTATGATCTTGCCATCGGGCTCCAACATAGCTTCCAGCCGGTGCTTTCGGTTTTCGAGTTCAGCTTCCCTCTCCTGTTCTTCGACTGACTCCAATTCATCAGGTCTCTCAATCAATCCTTCGACACCGAAGAATTCGGCATCACTCATGTAGAGTTCATCCGGCTCTTCGAAATCCAAATCGTCACCGTCGACCGCGCCTTCGAGGTTTCTGGTCCTCCATCCTGTACCGTAATTGTAATATTCGTTGCCACGTCTGTAGTTGTTGTTGTTACCGTTACCCTTTCCGGCGAAGCCGTTACCCTTCGAGCCCTTGTAACCCTTGCCTCCTTTTCCGGCCTTGTTGTAGTAGTAGTTGTATCCACGGTTACCACCAGTGTAGTAGGTATTACCTCTGTTACCTCTGTTACCTCTGTTGCCTCCCTTTGAACCATAATAGTTGTAGGCCTTGCTACCGTAGTAATTTCTGCCGGTGTTCCAACTTCCATTTCGAGGTCCTGGAAGAATGATTTCGTCAACAACATGGATCACACCGTTACAGGCGATAACGTCCTGACTGAAGGTATATTCGGTCTTCTCGTCAGTGTCACCAGCGTTGTCGAAGTTGAGAACAAACTCGGTTTGGAATTCAAACTGTTGGGCATTGAAAATATTATCGGGAACTCCAATGGTAGGATTCAATCCGTTGTGCATGTTACCAGGACCAACCTGCTGCGCTCGGCTCGCGTTGATGCATCGGGTTTTAGATCGCTGTCTATTGCGTCGGTCTTGCTGGGTATTGATGGTACGGTAAGTCTGACCGCATCGGAGGTCGCGAGTCAATCTTGCCTGAGGAAGAATGTGGAGCTCGAGCATTCTCTGCTCATCGAGTCTGCCAATAAGACCATCAATCTTCGCAAAAGCAGCATCGGTGGGAGCAAACACCGTGTGTGGTGAGTTACCCGTCGCCATGAGATTAAAGACGTTCGGAAATCTATCGATGAGATCGCAGAATCGTCTGAACGGATCACCGACACGAGATGGAATTGTGCCAGTACCTTGCTGGTTAGTATTTCCGAGGGGGCTGTAAAAAGTACTTCCAGTACAGAGATTACCATCTATTGAAAGAACATGTAGCAAATGCACAAGGCAAGTGAGAACACGACCTTGATGTTATTTGTAAGTACATTCTTTTTGCGGTCGGTACTTACAAGTTCGTCTCTGTGAGCCTTCTCTGTTCGAACTGAAACTTCTATCTCCTCCATTGTTGTTATCGTTAATGGCACGCTGGTCGACTACGCGTTTACATTGATCGTAGTTAAGATTGGTTTGACCCATCGCAGCGTTGGCGAGTAGTGCCGTCAATACCAGCGCAAAGCTCGAGCTTTTGAAGATTGCCATGTTGTTTTGTAGATTGTTATTGCTTTACAGACTTTATACAAGAGTCAATCAAATGTATATCACGATCGTATCCTCGCAACGAAAAGTTTTCTTTGCTTTGTTATGAATAGTGAGGTTAGCCGCTCTATTTTAGATCACTAAAATCGATTTTATGATAATAAGTGTGAGGACGGCAAAAACCGTCGTTTTCCGCACTCGAGCCCGTGATTCACGCTTTAATTTCCTTCCCTCAACGCATACCGGTGCTCTAACGGCTGGAATTAGGAAATATTTTTTGGCCACTATGGCGCACCTCAACTCGACTGAGATTACTTTTGGTTTTAGTGATTAATTGAATCAATGCATGCGCACGATCAAACCCTTCAAAGTTACGAATCCGATCAGTTTGAAACATATTTGAAATTGCCCGCAAGTGCGCAGTGTGACTAAAAAGATTGGAGTATGCTTGAGAGTGCTCGATGCAACGATTATTGCAAGAGTGCACAACGTTCTTTACTGTTTCACTTGTTAAAACTAAACTAGTACTTTGAACTGCGTATACACATCACCCCTAAGATCAGAACTGGAGCAGGAACCATGTCCATATCATCTACCGGTGCTGCAGGTGCCCGTACCGGTACGCAGCGACGAAACTGCAAGTTTGCAACTAAGTAAGAAGTACAAATATAGTCCCATACATATTGTTGCATGGTGATACTACTACTATGATATAAATATGCATCAGTAGCAGTACTAGCAGTACTAGTACTAAAAATAGTATTGTTGAGTAGTACTTATCCATAGTAATATTCCATCTCCCATTAACCACCAGTTGGATTTTGAGTAATATTGTCAGATAGTTTGAGATCAATATAGTATCATAACATGATCGCTAGATGTCTGTATTTCCTGTTCAACAAAATATTGTTGAAGGAGGTCATCTTCCATGGCAGCATCCTGAGCTATTTCTCTTCTTCCTCAGACCAATCAAACAAATAAAGATCTCATCCCCCCTCTTGTTCCTATCTGTCGTACCTATCCCAGCTTTCTGATGGATATCTTCTTGGAACATCCTTTTCTCCCTTCCACCTCTTTGGTAACAATGCTCCTGTATGGATACCTCTTGCAAGAAAGTCTCCTTTGCTGAGATAGAGGCTTCTTCCTCAAAAAAGAGTCTGCTTTGTGAGTCTTCATTCTTTCACCAAACTCCTGTTCAGACATACATTCTCTTATAAGAGTCCCTCTACTAGTAGTAGTACTAGAATTTTCAAATATGTAGCTGCCATTCCATCATTTTATCTCTTCTGGAACAACTTTTTGAAAAGCATCCATGTCACTAGATAGGTGGTAGCTCTAATGACATGTCCTCAACCCTGACCCCAACCCCTTCAAAACAGAAATTCTAGGGATATGCCTCCTAGCAGCAACAAGTGAATCCCAGTGATTTTTTTCCAAGATGAAGGTCAATTCTATCCACTGGAGGAACTCTTTCAGTTACAACAAAGCCTTTCTTGAGTCTTCCCTGGATCTTCTCTGCAAAGCTTCTGAGTTGACACCACTTTCAATATCAGTTGTCAAGGACGACTGTTTTCCAATAGAGACAATCACCCTTGCTGATGCTTGACACCATTCCTTTGTGGCCTTGAAGGTGTCATCATGAACAGATGAGGTTTGAAACAAGGAAACAACATGGTGAGGTTAAGGAATAAGAATCACAGCTGGTGTAGGAAACCCAAGTAGAGGAATAGTTGGAGGTTCAGCAATGGGCGGAGTGGAAGATAAATCCTTCACCAATTGGAAGAGAAATTTTCCCTTGGTCATCCTAACAAAAGCACCTAGCAGAGGAACCTTTGCTGCTTTTGCAATTACATCAAGTGGGACATCTGAAATCAACTAAATCCTTCAATCAGGAGGAAGTTCTGCTTTCTCAAAGGGAACATTGCTTGTCTGCATCACTTCATGATCACCATCTGGTGGGCATCCATCAACACCACTACTATTAGTGAAGCCAAATTGCCCAGATTTGGAGCATCTGTACTAGCCACTCCACCAAGAACAAAGGTTGAAGTCATGAAGTCATGGTTGAGGCTGTTTATGCTGTAGCTCCCAAACCTTGTGACAATATCACTCAAAATCCAATAGTAGAGTAGCAACTTAACTATTATGGATAATTTTTAGTAGTAGTGGTATTGGACTACTAGTAGCAATTTTACACAGATCAATTTTGATCACTGCACAATGATCACAAATGGATCTTTTTAATCACAGAAATTTCTGATAAAAATTGATCACAATTTTCAAGATCACAGGGGGCGTCCTGGGGACCCGTATTTTCCCCAAAAAATCAAAATTGGCATGGTTCCTTTCTAATTTAATTGTTGATAACAAGTCCTTGCAGTCCCATTTCATTTTCATCATCATGGTGGTTTAAAAAGTTGTTGAATCATTTCAAATATTTCTTAGTACTCCTGCTCCTACTACTGGGGAATTTCTGTTGCTGCTCCTCCACCACCAACCAATTGTTGTAAACTTCTTATACTATCAGTGCTGCTTGCTGTCAAAGGTTCCACCTCAGCAGTAAGAAAAACCAAGAACAATAATCACTAGTACTAGTAGCTACTACTAATAGTATTACTATTTCTAATTGCTACTAGTACTAGTCCTATCAGCGGTACTAACAGCTTTCCCACCAGCAGGAGTAACTCTACTACTAGTAGTTTTAGTAGAACAATCTGCTTGTGGTACGGGCAGAGCAAAACCAAGTCTCAATTGGACCAGGGGTGCTACTACTACTACGACTACTACGACTACTACGAAAGAACAAAAAATATTTGCGGAGTTCTACTACACCAGTGTGCTAGTAGATTAGTTCTTGACCTCATATATTTTCGCAAGGTGGTCACGACCATTGGTGTAACCAAGTTGTCAGTCTTTTCACCAGGCAAAGGCACTTCTATATGAATTTCATACCATCGCCGTTTCACAATCAGGGAACGGTTTTGAATTTCTCTTCTGACAAACTAGCCCGTCGCTGATGCCATCTACTCCCACTATTTGTTGCCATTCGCAGCTGCCTTGGCACGCCCTCTCATGTTGCGGAAATCGTGGGCGACCTTATCGTGGGCTCGTTGCTGGGAAGCCATGGTCCACAGGCCGGGTTTTTCCTGGATCAAGAACCTAGATCCAGAGTCTCCAACTTGCATCAGAATGTGCTGGACCAGGGCGGTTTTCTCACTCTTCGACACAGCCTTGTCGTATTGCTCCCGGTAGCTTTCCAACAGCTTCTTTAAGCGAAGATTTCCAGGTTTGTTCCGGTTGTGGCAGCCCCGGCCCATGAGAATGTCGAAAGGGCCCGGAAGGAGCACCGCAAACGACGACGTCGGCGACGTAGTGAAGGCAGGAGCTTGGTTTGCAAGAAGAGTGGGCTTGTTGCTAGAGGAGAAAGCAGTTTCTGATGTCTTGCTGCTCGGGCGGTCTGAAACTTCGGTATTATCGAATGATTCATCCGGCAGCGGTTTGCTTCTGGAAATTCGCTCCGTCTGTTGCAGCTGAGACGTCCGTACAAATTTTGATCTCTCCCGTTCCCAGCGATCTTTTTCTTCGTATTCTGCAACGGCATCCATAAAGGCTACATGAAATTCAGTGTCGATAATCATTCCGTCATTGTTGTGTTTGCATTTGTTACTCGCCATCATATAAGTGTTCAACTTTCCCTTTGTATTCATCACGATGGGAATACTCTCCTGTGATATTCCATACGTCATGAGATTGTAGACACATTCCGTAACCGATCCTCGGTGAAACCTTGTCCGGACCACCTGAAAGGCGTCTAGTCCGTGTACTAAAGCCCCATAAAGCACCCGGTCCAGTTTCGGATTGTCGTAACAAAAGTGTTTGGCAACACATCGGATCGGCAAACATTTTCTGACCTCCTGCAGCATCTTTGTCTTGAGCAAGGCCCTAGGTGCCGACATGTTCGACTTCATTCCATGGGCCCACACGATGTGGACGTACCCAGCCATTTGATTGGCTTCGTCCTTGGTCATAATCTGGCTTCCGTAAAGGATAATTCGGGCCTGTCGAAGACGAGAAGGAACATTCCATAGAACACGATATCAAGTTAGGAGTACACAACGGAAAAACAACTCACCTGAAATGCAACGCAGCATCCCACGATGCACCCAACACAACACCAAGAACGCAAACCCATTGTACAATCAGCTGGATACAAAATTAGATACGGAGGGTACGCACCAACGACTCTAACGGCAGGTCTTCAAGGAGTTTTCCAAACATCATCGTTACAATTCGTCCAGACCTATCCTTCTCTTCTAGAAGCTGCATCGGTCCCCTTGGTAGGCAGCTGCGATCTTCCTCCGTCAAATCGGACAACCGAATATCTCGGCACAATATCTCATCGTCCTCATTCCTGCTCCCGTTTGTACCATAATTGTTGCCACTGCTATTGCTTCTGTTGTGATGGTGCCCAAAATAAAGTCGCTTAACTTCGTAATAGGCCGACATTCTTTTCGCTGCAGTCTTGGGGTGGTAGTTTCCCACGGCCCGCAGGAACTTGATGCAATCCTGCTTGACGTACTCCGGGTGGTTGGCAAAAGTCCAGCCCAGCGCTGAAGATGCAGTTGTCGTTGTCACACTCGGCTGCCTGCGGTTGCGATTGGCTTCCTTGAAGACCGTCGTGGTGGACCTGCAGTATTCGGCAATGATATGGCGATGCATTTCTCGAAGCTTCTGCTCCAGAACGACCGGGTCTTCCTTTTCGTAGATATTGATTCCGTGCACATCCAGATTGGCTTTTTCTTTTTCTTGCACCGAAATATTCTCGAGCTTGCTGGTAATCAAAAATTTGTCGTTGCCTTGAATTTTCTCTGCTGAACGCACTTGCATGTTGCGCTGTTGTTGATGCTGCTKGTGCGTATTCTGTTCGTGTAGGCGCTGTTGCTGCTGTTGTGAATTGGCACTGCCATTGCAATTGAAAGTGGCATTACCATTCACGTTGAGATTTATATTGGCAGTACCACCGTTTTTGCTCGTTGTCGTGTTCAAGGGCATGGGAATTGGCAATAGAGAAGCCATTTCGTCCGACATGGTATGTAATGATTCTGCGTTTTGAACAGCGTTTTCCCCAACCTTGGTTGAAATCCGCAGTTGCTGTTGCTGTTCTAGTTTTTATTGATCATTTTCATCATGTTTGTTTGCTTTCTCTTCTGTCTGGTCTTGTTCTCCCTGCAATTTTCCGAGCATATCGCCGTTCCAATCCGATGGATCAAACAACAAGCTCCAGTTCCCGCTATCTAAAGCCCCGAGGATGCTGCTCGTTCTCCTCGCGGGTTTGTTCCCGTTTTCACTTCTGTCGTTGTGTCTGTCTCCTCCTCCTCCGCTTCTGCTGCTGTTGCTCCGCTGGCTGCTGAAGCTCCCAAACAATTCGCTCCAGCGCATCCCAAATGAGTTGTTGCTGTTGCTGTTGCTGTTGTCGTTGTTGCTATTGCCGCGGCCGGGAGTAAGCTCTGGGTCGTTTTCCAAGTCCGTGGAGGATATCGAAGAAAAGAAGGATCCACTCGCGGCAGCGGCAGTTGAACAAAAACCGGCCGTCAGGCTGTTGAACAGCGACGAGGGATCCGCATCGTCGATGCTCGTCGGGAAAGGGCTGTAGCTTTGCCCATAACTATTTTGCGGTTCTAGGTTCCCGTAGCGATAGTTCTGGGGTTCTAGGTTTGTCCCATTTAACTTTGTACTGTTTCGCTGCAACATAAGATTATCGCTGTTTTGCGATTGCCTCCGCTTGCTATTTCTGCCATTTATGCCTCTATGGTTGTTGTGGCTATTGTTGTTACCGGTAGGCCCGTAGTTGCTGTCTTGTTCGACATTCGGAGGATCGAGGTCGCTCTCGAAGGCCGTAGACGCCATTGCTATTTGTTTTCTGAAAAAAAAATTATAAAATATGATATGTACCGTATCGTTTGTTGACGTGTGTAAGATACCGTTATGCTATTATGCTATTGCGTTAGAAATGGAAACGTTTTTCCAGGCGAAGGAAGGTTGCTTTTGTTTGAACAACAAATGCAGTACGGTACGTTATGGTACCCTGTACCTTACGTACCATACCGTACGAAGTGCATTTTGATCAGGTCTCGCTTGAAGTGGGGGTTATCAAAAAAATAAAATCATCTGTCAAATCAGGACGAGCACGGGTCATAAATACATAAAATGCTTTCAACCTCTAAATAACAAAATACTTCTAATAGTTGCAGTGAAATACTGTGTTGAAATAGAAGTAGTGCAAGGTACTTCGCATGTATGAAATACTGTACCGTAGGTACGAGTACCTCTATTCCCGAACGATACGTCGGTACGGGTTTTCGGGAATGACCCCATTTTGTCCATCCAAAATCCAAAAGAACCTCAACTGAAGAAACCGGATGGGGATTCTGCGCGGTAGGAAGAATTACAGCTCTGACTCGTATCATGGACAGACTGGATCGACTTTCCATGTGTTGTGTCGGTGTCGAGGAATGGGGGGAACTATTAAGGGGTTTTAATTTAAATTTAAAGGGGAGACGATGCGCTCCATCATACACGAACTGTACCGGTACGAAGTACTCGTACTTCGTACTGTGGGTAGGATGGGATGGTCTTTTCAACGAGACAAAGCCCCGATATCAAAGAGTGCAACGATGCGGTAAAATGTGGTTACAACAAAACCTACAGTGATTTGTAAAATAAGACGACGAACGTTCCGTGAAATGGTGTGATGATATTTCCTTCCCTAAAATAATTGTGATAATATATGCAGGTATGGTATGACACGAAGAACGACAAGCTGGTTGGATCATCATTCTTATGGTTGGTTACGGCTCATTGTCTGCAATGTTTTGCTTCGCCCACGGGTGGCTAGCTATGCTCCCGGAAAAGATACGCGCGCATTCGTTCATAACAGTGAGGTATGTTCGAAAGCAGGCTGAGAGTGTAATTGCTATGCACGATGGCATGTTCCTTCATTCTCGACTTGTTTGTGCCTGCTGCTTGCATCAAACTAGATGGCGTTTAGTTCATGTAAAGAGGGGCGGGTCCATGTCCGAATTGGTCAACTTCTCCAGTCAATTCGTAAGGGGTAACGACGGCGCTGAAGGGGAATTCCATGTAGTTGGTAGCGATGATACGGATCGTCCAGCCAGGTCCGGGTGTGGGAATGACGCAGTGGTATGGCTGCGTGGATCCTCCACAGTGCAGAGTGTAGAGCTGTCGCACGCTGTTGGGTCCCTGCAAAACCTCGATCTGGGCCTTGACGGTACGCTTTCCGATGTCACGGGACCACAAGACCATCTGGGTGGTTTCGACGTCGTCGGGGATGTTGAAGTAACGGACGGAACCGCCGCCGCCTTCGGTGGATCCTCCCTGTACGGTGGTCTTGGGGGAGGTGTCGAAGACCTTTTGGGTAGCGGCCCAGGTTTCTTCCATGCGCTGGGCATTGGGAACCTCGGCACCGAACTCGATGGGGAATTCGTGGCTTCCTGTGGTGGAGATTTTGAGGGTCTTGGTTCCGGGCTTGAACTTTAGCATGGCACGGAATGGTGTTTGGTCACCGTCCTCGCATTCGATGTCCACTGAGTGGATGCGACGGATGGGTCCTACCCACTGTGTTCCGCAGTCGCCGTTGTGATAGTTCATGCGTTGTGTTGTTGGACGGAGAGATAGAAAACAAAACAATGTGTAAGTCAAACGACATCTTTTGAAATGGAGAGAACAGTTTGCCAGCCAGGAACGAGAAGATAGCAATGGGCATCGGGAACGACACAGTCTCCCATAAATATTATTTTGTGCGTCATAACGACCATGGTTACATCCACCGAGCGCAAGAAGAGCAACATGCGTCGTCCTGTGGCAGGGACCATTCACAATTTGCGTGCGATGTATTGGTTCGGTCGCATTCGACAAACACAGATCGAATCAAACAAGCCAAGTCGAACTGCCATTTGAGTTTCCTTTTTTTCGACGAGTCTGCTATGTGTTGCACTATTGCGTCACCTCTGCCATCTATCTCTTCGGACAGAAAGTAACTTTGTCTCTCAGCAAATGAAGTTTTCGGACAATCTCGTTGCATCACATCGCATCCAATCCCGCCCTGATGGTTCCAACCTTAGCGTGGTCCTGGCTGATACCACACGAAACACCCGGACCCAAACACACACACAACGCAACGCAGCGATTGCACACTATATATTCAACGCATCGATTGCACAATCTGCCCCGATACTGCACGTACCAATTCAACAAGGGCCTTGAGGGGACGTCCGTTGGTTCTAATGTAATAGGAGAGACGCTCGGCCTCTGGGGGGATGTCCCAGGTTCGGACGGTGCCTCCTCCTTGCATCTTGCGCATAGGAATATCAGTGGGGAACTGTAGCGTCGTGCCGTTCCGTTTGGAAGAAAAAGGGCGCAGTGCAATGGATTCGGTAAGAAGGTAGTTTCACAAACAGTGGCTTCCGTGTTGCCATTGCCTCCGCATCGCCTTTCCACGGATTCAAACCGAGTCCAGATCAAAACAAAGCACAAGAGAACAAAATGCAGCCCCAGTCGAGGCGAAGACCAAAAGCCGCGCAACAGCTGGCGGCCGATTCGGATCTTCTCAAACACAAACAATTAAGTAAAAAGATCACCCACAACGCACCATGCTCATAAGGGTGCGGTCGACGGGATCGTCGGACATGGGTCCTCCGAGGTTGGGATTGTAGTCGATGGCCTGGTTCAGAGAGGTGGTGCTCTCGGTCGTGGTCAAGGCAGGAACTTGGATCTTGCTGGTGGGAGCAAAAGCAGAGGCCGTGGCCATCATAGTAGCACAGAGGAAAGCACAGAATCTCATCTTGGTGTGTCCGGGTTGGTGTGTATATGTATTGGTATGTATTGTGTGTATTATATAAGGTGGGAGGCCACGATAGGAATCTGATATCCAGGTACGAACAGTTGCCAAAAGAGAGCGTCGTGATAGCAGAGCCTTGGTTGAGAACCGTTTATGGTGAAGAATCAGACAACGATGGGGCAGTCAAGAAAACGTACGAACGGGGAACGTTGTTGCAGTTGTACCGTACGTACGAACCCATTGTCCCTGTACTGCCGACTACAACACCGACATCAAAAATCACATGTCAAGGGACGAGAAATTGAATACGATACGAGACACACGCACGTATGCATTTGTAACAGCAATCCGATCCAAAATGGCGTGTCTTTCGAAATGACGATCGTCATCGCCACGGGGATTGTGATTGGCCATCCATAGTTTCCGAAACACATGCCTCGAAACGGCCAAGAGATGGGATGGTCCGATCCCTAGTGGTGCCCGTTTAGGCGAACGCCATCTCCTGGATTTAAATCACGAGCAGGACTCAAAAGCTGCGGGACGTCCGCGCCGGTTTTGGGTTCAAACCATTTTTTTTAAAATTCCGTTTCTGCGGTCCTTCTTTCTCTCTGTTTGCGTGCGAGCGTGCGTGCACCCGCTGTCCTCGCTCGACCGACTCGCCGTGGCCGGCCGGGGTTGGGTGACGACGCGAACCCCTGAACGCAAGAGTACCGTACCCTATGTACCTAAGTGCGTACGGTGCGGTTCGTTCGTTCCGCAGGAGGAGAGTGAGTCCAAGGAGATGAGCGACGCAGCCCGCCACGGGCAGTAGTACATGTAAGAAACTGCCACAATGCATGTACGCTACTACTACGACGTACGGCACTCGAACCCAACATATTATTTCTCCACGGAATGTTGTCGTTTGTCGTACAAGTTTGTACGTACCAATTAATCGGTAAGTAGATCGAACTAGTACGTACGTACCGTACGTTGTCTTCAAATCCGAGGAACCCAACGAAGCACATAAATATTAATTTTTTTTAACAACCCCCCCCCCTTTTAAAAAAAGGTTGTCTGATTGTGAAAAACTAAAAACTTCATTAGTACCGTAGTGCCGTAAAAACATAGTGGTAGTACGGTAAGACTACTTGCTACTTACTACAAGTACGAGTACTACTAGTAGTTTTGGATTCCGAAAGGATCGCCCAACGAGATGCTCAGCAAGCATGAAACTACGACGCCGTATGGTTTTTTCTTGAGTCTGCCCAAAGTAACAGATAACTCCTAACGGTACCGGCCGGTATGGTGTACTAAGGTATCCCATACCGACGTACAAGAACTAGCTATTCATGATTTGTACATATCATGCGCAATGCGTTCTAACCGAATGAATAGCACTTCGAAGAGACCTCTTAGAGTTTCTCTCATTCATCAAGGAAGAAAAAAAAAAATTCTGCTGGTGACCCATCGCACGTTCTTGTTCACTCTACCGTACAATGGAAAAATGGCTACTATTATGCCCCGGTTTCCGTTGAAATTCTTTAATGCTTGGTGTTAAACAAAATAGGGCCCGCTCGCTCGCAATATTATGCCGAAAAGAATAAATATGGCGGGCAGTGACAGCCTTCGCATCGATTTGTTCACGTTGTCGCGCAGTATTGAAGGGGAATCACAAGTACGAGTATGCACAGTGATTTCAAGTCGCGATTCCGTTTCTACACGATCCAAAAAACAAGAGACGAGCAGTACATTGTACGTACCGTGCCGTACGGTATCGCATTCGAACGAAACAGCCTACAAGATTTCAAAATTCCGTTGCGATCCCGTTGTGTGCTCCTTCTCCAACGCATCATGGCGCCAACACAAAATTCATGGCTGATATCATATCCTTGTTTTTGTTTCGACACTTTGACCACAATTTTTTTTTCAACCAACACAAAAGACCATAAAAACACCATGATGTTCGGAAAATCCACCCTTGTTCTCGCCGCCCTTGTTGCCGGGGCCAGATCCGATTGGTCTGCAACCAACTGGCAAGCGAACGTAGACAAAGCCATGGACATGGCCAGCGCGTACCAGAGCATCAATTGGGAAGACGGTAACTGGCAAGGAAACTCCCAGAAGGCCCAGGAAATTGCCATGTCATGGAAAGCCAACAACGAAACGGACGACGAGCTGCTCGAAGTGAGCGACGAAATTCTGGAATTGCTCAAGAACACCACTGACGAAGAGGAAGACGAAACCGTTCCCTCTTCCGCTCCGGCCTTTGGCACCGTGGCCGCTGCGGTGTCCACCGCCCTGCTTGCGACCACCCTTGCGTCTCTCTAGGGTGGCCATGTCGGGCGTGGCGTGGCCGAGATTCGATGCGAATCGACTCGACTCGATTCGATTCTCTGTGCGCTGTTGTCCGGGGGGATGCAATGCCCCTCCTCATGCTCGTCTCGCACACACCACACCAAGCGTGGGCCTACCGTACGCTCGGTTCGGAGGTTTGTTGGAGGTAGCGTCGGTACTACCCGCTGAACCCGAGCCGGGATCGATCCATCCATCCGTGTGTGCGATGCTGCCCAATTCATAATGTCTAAAACAAATCACTTAACCACCTTCGATCCTTTAGTTGTATCATTGCGTTCTTTCTCGTGAGCAATTAATTGCGTGGCGTACTAGTTGCTTGTTCCAGCCCAATCCTCTTGCTAGTATTCCCGGGGATGATACAGCAGCAGCCGTATCTTGATCCTTTCACTCTGGGACGCAGCGATCCGTTTCTCCCGGTTAGGCAAGGGAGCACGAATTCGTGCGTCGGATGGAAGCGGTGTTGGCGGTTTGTTTCCGACCGAAAAGAATCAATCGGGTTCGCCACCTTCTATCGGTACGGCATTTGTTAGTAACAGGTTCGGTACGAGTACCGTATGCTACCCGTACATGAAAAATACTCTTTTCTATTTCCAGTGTACGGTAATGTACTGTAGTCACGTAGGTACTTGTGCTGGACCTCGTGCAGTAGTAGTGTAGCATACCTATGAGTACGAACAACAATAAGTATTTCAAATTTGGATCCGGAAGAAAGATTTTCGCTCCTGTCGGAGTTTTATGACCCGTGTAAAGACGGTACATACCCCACGGTACCTTGTACCTTTGGTAGGAACATACGTTACAGTTCTGGGCTCTGCGTACTGTACGGTACGTAGTACTCGTACCTGTACGTACCATACAGTGCAAACTGCAAACCTACCGGTAGTCCAGTCGAATCCAGTCGAACGGATCAAATCGAATCGAAATCGAATCGAAATCGAAATCGAAATCGAAATCGAAATCGAATTTCGATCGGCGGTCCCTGTTGGGGGACGAACGGATCCGCATCGAGGATTTTTGCATACCTCGAGAGCTCGTAGATTATTGAAGCCACAAAGATACTCCCGACAAGGGATTGCTCGAAACGATTGAATCACGGTGGACAATCGTAGGCGACGGCAATCCATCTCGTATGGCATCGTAGGGTATTCTACGGTGCGTTACCAAAGAATGTTGGAAGGTGGAACCCAGCGACATTGTCCGGGGAAGGAACAAAACAACAAGACGATTCGTCCGTACAGAACAGTACCTACCGTACTCCACCGCTATTCTATCCCACGGTACCGTAGGTAAACCGAAATCGAAACCGAAACCGAAACCTACACTGCGCCAACAAACGGAACAGCATTCGTGATCGGCACACAGAAACAAGACCGACACCCGGCCCCCGAGTACACGCTACACATACATCACTTCCCTGCACTGCCAGCAAACACAAACCAATCCGTCCACGATGAAATCCGTTATCGCACTTTCCATGGTGGCCTCGGCCGCCGCCTTTGCCCCAGCCTCGCAATCGAGCAAGGCCACCAGCACGCAGCTCGCCGAGACCCAGGCCGACCTCAAGGCACTCGGACCCAAGCTCAACCCCATTGTCGGGTTCTGGGATCCCCTGGACCTGGCCAACGCCGGATTCTGGGGATTCTCCCAGGAGCAGACCGTAGGATGGCTGCGACAGGCCGAGATCAAGTGAGTTATGTTAGTTCGTTAGTAGCAGGTTGCGGCAGTTGTGGTTGTTGTTGTTCTGTGGTGTGGTGTGGTGTAGTGTGATGCCTTGTTATGTTATGTTATTTCATGTCATGTGTTGTAATGCAATGTCATGTGTCGTAACGCAATGCTATATGATGCAATGCAAAGTTATGTGATGTAACGCATTTGTCATGTGATAGAAACCTTGGGTTTGGGTCACTCGAAGCGCACACGAACTGCGACGCGGTCTGCAACATTTTGTGCTGTGCTGTGCTTTTTGGCTCGGTCCCGTTCACGTACCCGCTGCTCACCACGCCGAACTTTTTTGGTTTTGCTTCTTGCCGTTTCCGTCCGCCCCGCTTGCAATGCAACACAATTCAAATTCATTCGATTCCACACCAACCGCTTCGCAAGGCACGGACGCGTTGCCATGGCCGCCTTTGTCGGATACTGCGTCCAGTCCAACTTTGCCTTCCCCTGGTCCCTCACCTTTGGAGGACTCCCCTTCCCCTCCACCGATCTTTCCCCCCCCGAGCAGTGGGACGCCCTCCCAATGGCCTCCAAGATCCAGATCATCGGATTCGTCGGATTCCTCGAGTGGTACTCGGAGCTCTCGGACAACGGCAACGGACCCCACTACACCAAGGGAGGAAAGCCCGGACAGTTCCCCTCGTTCGAGAACGTCCCCCACGGCGCCACCCTCGACCTCTACGATCCCTTCAAGCTTTCCAAGAACCGCACCGACGAGCAGAAGGCAAAGGGATTGCTGGTCGAGATCAACAACGGCCGCCTGGCCATGCTCGGAATCTTTGGCTTCCTCTGCGAGCAGACCATCCCCGGATCCGTCCCCGCCCTCACTGGTGTCGTCAAGCCGTACGCCGGAGAAGTCATGGCGCCCTTTGTGTAGGCGGCTGGCTCCGAAGGCAGCGTTTCGCGGAGCAGAAGCAGGAACCAACAAAGCGAACCCGACGGAATGCTGTTGTGCCGTGCCATGCTCTGCAGTGAGAGAGGACGGAACGAACCGGAATGCGGTGCGACACAACGCGATGCAGCGGAAAACCCCGCACACGACGAGCAACGGTGTTGTGTTGCGGACGCACTTCTTGGTCTCAAGGGGTTGTTGTTTCCTCGATGCGCACCTTTTGATTTTTCGGCGACGAGGACTCATAATGTCAATGATGCTACAACATACGAATTAATAGAGATTACGATTGAACTCGTCCGGAAACGCTAGCGATTCGTTCTTCCATTTGGAACAAGCCTTTCGCGGAACGGAGTAGATTACCTTGTGTTGTAGAGTAGTGTATCGTTTTACTATCCGCCATGGGAACACCCGAGTTTCGGAGAGTTCAAGTAGCGGATCTTCAAATCGTCCTTCGGCCAAAACCCAAACGGTAGTTCCAAAAAAGGATTGCGCATCACTTTGCCAAAATTGTGAAAACTAGGTGAAGTGGTAGTACTGGTAGAAAGGTTCATTCAAGAAACCCAGTACTGGTAGTAATACTTCAAATGGTACTAATACTTGTAGGCAGACACCCCGTAGTGATGAAAATGAAGGAATTACGACGTTCATTCTTTCTTGTCACTGATAGTAGTACTACCAGTATGAACACCACCAGTTCTATTAGTTGTATGTCTTTTTCTTGTTGCAATTGGTGATACTAGACAGTACTACTACTACTAGTACTAAGAGTGAAAAAGAACTTGGTGTGAGAGGAGTTAAGTAGTATTACTATGAATACTAGTACTAGTATTTGGTGTACTTGTCATCACACATAAGGACAAGTTTGGGGGACTTCATTGTACCAGTCATTCTTGGTTGAAAGAGTTGCAAAGAGGTGTTTGCAACTCAAATTGAATGGATGGAACAATTGAGGTTATTTCTTCCTACTACTCTTGAATACTACTACTACTACTACTACTACTACTACTAGCACCAATTCTAGTTCTAGCTAATAGTACTAGTAATAGTATAAGTATAAGTACTACACAACAACAAGAATGGTTGATTGTTGATAACTTCTTGTTGGTATTCCCCAGCTACACTGAGAACTGTTGCAACTGTGTAGTGAGTTGGGGGTAGTCGCTGTTGGGTGATTCCAATATTCCAAATGTACTATAAATAGCTAGCATTGGTGATAGACAGATAGATAGATAGATAGATAGATAGATAGATAGATAGATAGATAGATAGATAGATAGATAGATAGATAGATAGATAGATAGATAGATAGATAGA